TGCCCAATATGCAAAGGAGAAAGCTAAACAAAAAATCATGTAATAACAGTATGCAAGAAAAATGAACAAAAACGAGTTAAGATAATACGACAAATTAAAAATAGGCAAATATTTCTTTAAAAAATGCTACTAAACTTGGATTTTACAACAGATAACAAAGCAGTGAGAGAAATAATTAGCTACATTGTGAAAGCAATGAAAACCTATGGTCAGGTACTAGTGATTGAAAAATAAATGTAAATTAAAAATCTACGTTACAACTATAAATATTAATAATATAGAACAATATCTAACACAGGTCATCCATTAAATCTAACATCTAATAAATACCATCTAATTACTATTTTGTCTTTTTGCGGGATAGGGAACCTACACACGGAAGAAGTAAGAGACTTAGACATCTTGGGGTTATGCCACAGGGCATCTGTCTGGTGCCCGCCCCTCCCCCCAACAAAAATTGTTTGATATTTCTGCGACACAAAGTTAAAATGTGAGGAAAAACAAACGACTAACTTGAAATATTTTCATCAAAAATATCATATTTAGATAATCAATTTTACCAGGACTTCCAGGTAGTGATAGAAAACTTCATATTGATTTTTTTTTTATAATGTATGTAGGGATGAAAAGCACATCAACAAACTAATCTTAATACTACCAAGCAAGATAATAATATACCGAATAAAAAGCAAACATAAAGACACTAATAATGTCAATCCTTGTTATGATAAAAATCCAATATTGCATAAGAACTGTTTCTTTTTTCTACAAAAAAGGTTTACGGCCTTCTCAGCTACATCTAATTTTAAAGGTTACTTCAGACACAACCTGCAGAAGTGCGAATTTGGGAGCCTGCATTACATCCATAAACCAGCGATGATGCCGCACGGGAAGAAAAAAATTCTTTTTTATTTTCATGACACTTTATCATTACATTTTCACATGTAAATGATAACCAGCATATCAATTTATGAAATTTGGTAGATATAAAGTCGGTGTGTGTGTGTGTCTGTGTGTGTGTGTGTGTGTGTGTGTGTGTGTGTGTGTGTGTGTGTGTGTGTTTTCCCCTCAGATCTTTCTAATTAATTTTACAAATATAATTAAACTTTCAATGCATACGTTCGGTACGCTCGATAACTTAACCGAACAAATCGAAACCAGCTAAATATATCTAAAGAATGTTTACTTAATAAATAAATAAATACAAAGCACACGTTCGGAATTCGGTATGTAAAATATAAACAAATTACCCCAAAAGAGCTTCTCACAAGTGGTTTCCTATTTATTTGCTATAAAACTTAAGTATTGAATCAACAGAGGTCAATAGTCTACCCAATGATATAGCTTTGATGTTTGCGCCGTTATCTTTCAGATAACGTTCTTGCCGCAAACGGAGACCTTAAAGGGCGAATACTACCATACCTGCTTTGTTTAAGACAATTATTTATTTAATTACCGTCGCACAGGTATCCGAGTAGGGGGTCAGGGTTGAGCGAACCAGGAGGAAACGGATTTCGTTAGTCTTAGTCGGCGTGATTAAAGGAATATAACACCTAGTAATCAGTTCCTGCTAGAACGACGGAAGGTAATACGAGCTTTGAAAAAGGGACAATAATCTTAAATAATTGAAGGAGAGGTTTTTAAGAGCTGATTTGTTTTCTTACCGTGATATTAATTTTGGTATTATATATTTTATCCCGCAAATGTGAAAGCCATTCTTCGACTTGTTCTCATAGATGTTTGGATCTATTTGACTCGTCATATTACGTTTCAAAGATGTCGCTTCAACGGTCCACGGATCATTCTGTTGCTAATATTTTGGGATTTAAAGGTGAGATTTTTTCAAATTTGCAAACCTAGGTTTCGAATTAGAAGCAAATTTATAGCTTTTAGAAAAGAAAATAACGATTTTCCACCAGCTAATATTCACGTCATTTTGCAAGCTAATGAATTTTCATCTATCTATCGATCTATCTATCTGGCTAGCTTTTTGTCTGTTGCTGGGCCTATTTACCCTGTTTGTATATTTTGTCTATTCAGTTTATTAGATTTATATCAGCCACTACAAAGGAAGAACTTTTTTCATTCTCGGATATAAAACTATATTATCTCATTATGTCATTCTTTCTTTTCCCTCTCAATGAGATATTATTGTTTTTCAAAGACGTATTACTTGTTCTGGCTTAGTTTAGTATTAATAATTTTAAATTCACGAATTTTGTTTTTACGATATCGCTGGATGTCTCAGCTGTGCTTTGGTTAATTCATAATTTACCTTTTTCTTTGCGGGAATCAATAGCAAACAGAATATAGGAAAAGTAGTAATAGTAGTAGTAGCAGCAGCAGTAGTAGTAGTAGCAGTAAGATGAAGAATAAGAAGTGTAAATATATATGGCGGATGGATGAATGGATGGACAGACGGATGCATGTTATATGAGGATTAGAGGTATACCAGAACAATCCTAGCAATAGAGTGCCATATCAGTATATTCTTAATGACCAAAGTGGCGGTTGATCCATGTATGTATGCAAAAAGTTAGAAATCTTCACGTTCCAAAAAACATTTATATTGACCAATATAAATTATTGTTAATAATAATAATAATAATAATAATAATAATAATAATAATAATAATAATAATAATAATAATGATAATAATAATAATAATAATAATAATAATAATAATAATGATAATAATAATGATAATAATAATAATAATAATAATAATAATAATAATAATAATAATAATAATAATAATAATAATAATAATAATAATAATAATAATAATAATAATAATAATTATTATTATTATTATTATTATTATTATTATTATTATTATTATTATTATTATTGCATTGAAAAGACAGTACATTTTGTGATTTGAAGATGTTTTGAGAATTGAATGTTTACTGATCATCATATTTGCATTTTATCATCAAGGGTATTTAGCTGATAAAAGAAACACTATCTTAAAAAACAAAAACTTTTTAATCCAAGAAGGGTGACAATGGATAATCATTTCTGGAGCAAGGTAACAATGAATCAGGATTGTTGTGAATTGCAAAGTACTGCATCACAACATTTTAATCGTCTTTCGATTTTGAAATATTTTGTTAATGCTTTTTTGAGCTGAATTTTTTGTTTTTAAATTTTGACAGCCGGTATTCTGTTTGACATCAAAACAAAGATCTAATTTGAATTTCTCTATTGATCATGAATAAAAAGCAGATCAGCCTCTAGTAAACAATACTGAGCTTGCTGAGCATGGCTGGTAACGTTGAACACTGTTCTTAATATATAGGGGAACCCATTCAAAGATTATCAAACCTAAGCAGTCTCTACTGGATTCCGGTATTGTCTGGCCGTCTTAATTCATTACTCCACGTGTTATATGTGCATTGAGCATATTACATAACTGTGGGAAAGTCGAGTAGAGAATAAGGAGTTAATCGCTGAATCTTACAAATAAACCAATTTATTTGAGTTTCACGTTCACAAAATTCTGTACCTCAGTTTTGCTGGAGCAGCTGTACCTCAGTTTGTGGAGCTTGGTCTCCAAGTTTGTGGTTTCAATAACTGGACGGGCCAGCCCAGGTTGTTTGCACTCAAAGTGTCCTTTGGATAGAGTCTTAGCCCCCATTTTCTTGGCATGATGTAACCAAATCATTTGTTGAAATGACTCAAGTCTAATAGATCATTAGTACGGGAGTTTGTATTTTTCAGCAAAAAATACTATCCAACGTAAACTATCAGCGCACATCATTAGGAATGTCACTAATTCAAATACGAATGCATAAAAACAACAATAAAACGTTTTGAAAGAAAAAGAGTCTTTAGTTTCGAAGTTTTTCAATATAATCTCTCAGTAAGAACATTTATTACATTTAGAACACTTACATTAATCACTTTTTGAAACGTTAAAAAGCTACAATATATAATAATGGACACCTGCAGCTCCCATTTTTGAATAAGGCTCACGTTTTAAACTCATACCGCAAGCTACCTAAGCTAGCTAATAATAATAATAATAATAATAATAATAATAATAATAATAATAATAATAATAATAATAATAATAATAATAATAATAATAATAATGTGGTGACAAAAGAGTTCGGCATATTTTAAATATCAACATTTATCTATCCATACCTATATGGTACCTACCAACCAGAGGCGTCACTACGGGGGATGCGGACCGCACCGGGTGACACCATCAGTGGGGGTGACTCCAAAATGACTGTTTATAAAATTTTATAATTTTGTGCAGGAAGGAGGTTCATTAAGTTGGCCCTATGAGTTACCGCACTAATATATATATATATATATATATATATATATATATATATATATATATATATATATATATATATATATATATATATATATATATATATATATATATATATATATATATATATATATATATATATATATTCAAATTTATATATATGTTGTGTATAGACGATGTAGAAACGCCTAACACTATAGCTGGAAGATATTTTCAAGAGGGAATGCGCCATGGTCGTAGACGCAGTCGAACAAATTATTCCCGCTACGCCATTGAGCAAATGGAGGCCTTGTTTGAGGAAAATCAGTACCCGGATATACACCAGAGGGAGGCACTTGCGCACAAGATAGGAGTCCAGGAGGCTAGGGTACAGGTGGGTGTTAAATAGCATTTCATATGACACTATAAGTTATAGCCATTCAGATCACTGTGGAAAAAAGTTTGTTTTTTTTTCTTTTTCTTTTCTGTAGAGGGTGTGTGTGATTTTGACTTTTAACGTAGTTTTAACAATGTTTCAGTCATATTGCTACGATGTCTGCAGTGTGGTAGTTTATAGTGATGTCTAGCATTGGGGAATCAAGCGGTAGACACGCTGCATTATGTCCTACCCAGTCACATTATCCTGACACCAGGCAGAGCAGTCCTAACACTAACCTTTAATGATGAGCTCCAAACGAGGCAATTGTATCATTTTATAAATTTTGGGTATACTTCAGCCGGAGTTTGAACCTGCGAACCTCCCGCTTCTGAGGCGAACGCTCTAACCACTAGGACACCGTAGCAGTTTATGGTCATCTTGACATAACAATATAGGGAATAAATCAATGAACCCATTTTACATTCTCTTTGCACGTGACCGCAGTCTCAGAAGTGACGGTAATTACTGCAAGAACTTGAAATGTTTTCGCTTAATGGGGTAAACTTATCAAATTAAACCAAGATCATTAAGACATTACTAGTGAAGAATAATCACATTAGATAATGTATTTATCTATTGACGAAAACGTTTGATCCTTTATCTCAGTTCGTTTATAAAAACAAACGGAAATATATATGGCCAATATTATCTCCCAGATGGCCACTTTTAATTTTACTGCCATATCTAATAAATAGTATTTTTCTTGAGTACGTTACTTTGAGTTACAAATCGTTACATCTATCTACTATTATTAAGGTGTTATAGTTGCTTACTAGACACGCGTGTATTCTAAATAAAATCACAGATGTGACGCATTGTGACTCGAATGTTTTCTTCTCCTGTTTAGAGTAATGTTCGTGAGTTGGAAGAAATATTTATTATTATCGTCGTCAAATTTAAAATGAATACACATCTTTATATATTTAAACGATATATAAGTCACATAATGAAAAAAACATTTAACGAACTTCTTCCTTTTCCGTAATGGAGCATCTACACAATGCCAGAAGTTAACGGTGGATTATATATGAGTTTCCGGTGCTGCTGATTTCAAACTGCTTGCGTATCATTTTTTATATGCCTTGTTTTACATATATACGCTATTATGAAGAGCTCGCTATACGAGTGGTTACTATTCGTGTTTTAAACTGCCTTGAGTCCTCGATTAAGGATAGATTAGTAACTGTCCGCTTTTTCGAAAGCTTATTATTTTCTTTCGAGGGTAACTAAGATAATTGACTATTGCTTGGTTGATTAAAAAAGACACGATACTCCCCACATGAGAGAAACGTTTATTAATATTTTATTTTACTCCTGATACGAGTACTCCACTACCTTGTTTCGTTATGGTTAAAATTGCTTGTGGTAATAATTAATAAATATTTTTTGCACATTGTGTTTATTTATGTCCTCTATAAGATTGTGAGCCTGTGACTCCAGAAGTCTGGATTTGTCCTTTTTGTGAAAGGAAATGAAATAGGATATATTTTGCTCTTCGCGCTTCCGTGTCTTTCCATTCTCTCTTCTTGTTTTCATTTATACACTGACGTATTTTGTAAATCCCATACTTGTCTCTGTTTTCGAATATTTCATTCGTTATTTCTTTACTCCTTCCTCCTTAAGTTAAAATTTTGCTGGTTGCTCATTGATGCATTCATTATTTGGTATGTGCCTGGAAATATTTGGTTGAAGTTTGATGTTTTCATTTTTCTGTCAATAATGGAGACATATTAAGAATTACTTTAATCAATTATCAATTATCTATAGAAAAGAACAAATCGTCAAGCTAATCTAAAAGCAGAAATCGATTTGTATGATACTTCAGTCTTTAAAAATGTCCTGAAACTTGCTAACTGTATTTACGTATTTTTATATAATTTTGACCTTGAAAGTTCCAAGGTGAACATATAGCTTTAAATAAATACAGAGTTTAGTTCATTATATAGTTGTGTAGTGCATCATGGGAAATATTGGTGCTGAAAAAAAAAGACTGTTCTTGTTCCGACCCAAAACATGCATTTGTCTCGATTTGTGGCGAGGGTAAACATTGATTATTGTGTATCAACTCTGCTTTAAAAAATGCGCTAAACTTTACAGAACACAAAATTCTAATGGCATGACAAAAATGTATATTAATACTTATAACAATGTTATATTCATCTATCGCCCCAGCTCATTTAACAAATTATGAATGTTTGTTGGCAGAGAGAGAGAGAGAGAGAGAGAGAGAGAGAGAGAGAGAGAGAGACAGAGAGACAGAGACAGAGAGACAGAGAGAGAGGGAGGGAGGGAGAGGGGGGAACACTTTCCAGGGGAGCTCAGTTGGGCTCGAATTAATACATATCCCTCAGCTCCGTTATTCCTACAAATATGTTGATCTCCCCTGATCATTCTTCTCCGTATCCTCCTTATATGTCGGAAATTTAATAAGTCAAATTTTTAATGGTTTCTGCTCCTCTATACGGCGTATTCGCCGTATTTTTATTTCGGATTATAAAGTTATGTCACGTTTGCCATTTCTATAGTGCCTCGCAATGTTATTGTAAAATGAAATATTGTAGATTTGTTTATGTTAGAACTGAATTCTTTCTACGGCAGGTATGGTTTCAAAATCGAAGAGCCAGATCTAACAAACGAAAGAAGGGACCAAGCAACAGGACACTCCAGCGATGCAACAATATATTAACAGCTCCCAAAATTCACTCCAATCAGAAGCAAACTACAGCAAGACAATCTCCGGCCTGTCATCAAAGTCCTACCCAAGGATCATTTCTAAACTGCTACCCTGTGGTTTCATATCCGTCACTCTACCCACATTTCCTTCCGGGACCATCGCATGCCATGCATCTTGAAGTGAAGCATCAGAACCATACACAGTTTTCGGTGCAACATCCGAGTTACTATGGAAATAACCATTTCCTTGGCGTTGAGTCTACATCTCAAATTCTGGCAAACCAGTCATCTCCTAAAATGAACAACAGGCGCCTTAATCTTGCAGGACCATTTTATGCTGATTTGTACTATTCCCAAGATACATGCGATGCCTCCATTACAGTGTCCTCTACACCTGAAAGTACATCCAAGCTTGAACTGTCTCTACCAAACAGATTTGAGACTGCAAGTCCTCTGCCAGAATTATCAAAGAAATCTGAGAACACTCGACTTGAAACTCCGAACTCCAATCACTCGTTTTCGCCTTCTTCGCTGGAAGCTTCGGGTGATTGGTCTAGATTGAACGATACTCCAGAAAGCACCGGTAGCGATAATAATGTGGCACTGAAAGATTCAAATAATGGAAAAAATAACGACACTGAAGAGAATACTTCCACAACCGGTAACAGTGACTCTGGAATTGGGCAAGATGTTGGAGATTAAAGATCTCAGACAAGTTTGGAGCGTTATGTCAAGTGGGATAATCTTTGATACTACAGTTCATACAAAGATAATCTGCTGCTATTTTCAAGCCCAAGCGAATCAATCGTTTGTTGAACATAAAGCTTAATCTGAAAACCATATTTACGCTAAAAAAAACAACCCAAACATGTCTACATTAAAAGAAAATGAGCGTCAAACAAATAGGGTTTGAAAAAAAAGGTCATCATTGATAGTGTTTCCGATATCGCAACAGTTACAAAATGAAATTTGGAGTACCTGTTTCCACGTGAGCCGGAAGCACAGATATATTATGTAAGTTGCAGCCCTTGACGGTTGGGTACTGCCTCCAAAAGTGGCTATGATTCAGCTGGAAAATCTTTGTAATCGTGAAAATGTAAGGTCCGCAATAAAGTATCCATATAATATTACATGGTTCGACAGGTATTAAACCATACCAGAAAGCTGTTTGTTATAAGTTAACATCCGGTAGTGCAATGTAATCTTGTTTGGGAGGATGTCTGGTCTTTCATTAAAAAAAGAAGACGACTGTATGTAGGGGAATAAGCACTGGTGACTCATAACAATGAAAAAGGAAAGTAACGTTCATGACTTGATCTTAGACACATTCATATTATTCTTTATTTTGTAAGAAAATGTTCAAATGTTTAAGATCCTGAATAAAACTGTATCCACACCTGTACTCGACAACAAAATTCTAACTGAACGAATCGATTTTTTTTTCACATGTGCATAGAGTTAGGACCAAATGTATTGCTTTTTAAATATCAATGAATGTAACTATTTGTATTCAAAGCGTAATGATACTATCCAATATTTACTCTGACTAAATTGATTTATATTATCTATTAATCTTTTAAACAGTTTCTTTACTAAGGTGCTATTATTTCGAATGACTAACGTTACAATACATTTCGATCCAAGAGCTCTTCTAGTTTCAGACTCGATTGTCTCTTTATATTCTACTTCCAACACTTGTGTTGTAAGAAGATGAATGCTTATTTGCAAAAACTACTTAACATATAACATTGTTTATCGTATTATGTTCTTATTGTAAACTAGATGTAAAGTGAAATTTGTCAATGTATATATAAAGATTCCTCAAACACTTTTTTGTTTTATTCATTTATGTTATTTTTCACACATAGCATTGTTCGAATCAGCAAGTATAAATTTCATGTATCGTATCGGCTCGTTCAAATTAACATACAGATTGAAGACAACAAGCTTTTTAAATTTTAACAAAAATAATTTATTTTCCTAGAAAACATGAAAAATGAAAATATGTTAAACAAGACTTACGGTATACAGAAACGATCCAAATTGTTCTAGAGATAAACACAAGTCCCGTAAAAAGTTATAAATACAGTCTGAAGTTCAGTTCCGGTCCAAAATGGCGGAAGATGACGTCAGACGAAGGCTAACAGAAAATTCCAGAATTTACGGTTTTAAGTAACAAAAGTTGTGTAACTCTAAACTGTTACAATAAACTCCAACTCTGACTTTACAATTCAGCGACTGTGTACGACTCTGTACGTCTTACAAAATACCTCAGCATATAAATGAAACTAATACGTTGTTTGAATTACACGCGCACGGAAGACGCATGCATTTTCACAATATTTCTGGACATTAGGAAAGCCTGACCAAGTATCAGCCAATCGCTTTCATAGCTATTCCTGAATATTTACTTGTAATGAATTTGTCATCATATACAGCACGTGCTCACATGAGTCACATTTACGACTCAAGTAAACAGATGTTTTTCAACAACATATTAGACTGATATTAATATAAACATATTAATAATTATATTTAATGAAATAAAAAAATTAAATTAAACGATTTATACAGAATTCATTTCTTAACACACACATTTAAACTACAGGGTTGTAATATATATATATATATATATATATATATATATATATATATATATATATATATATATATATATATATATATATATAT